GACGCACCTTAACGTATACTCGTGGAGTGAGCAGCGACTTCTGCAGCGCATAGACCTGGGTTTGGAGGGCGTGATGCCCCTGGAAGTGCGGTTCCTGCACGACCCGCTCTCCACGCAGGGCTTCGTCGGCTGCGCCCTCTACGCCAACGTCTTCAGGTGAGGACGTGCCCCTGGCGAGGTCATGTGGACAGAATTCCCTTCTCTCCTCTTCCCACCTTTTCTTCTCTCTCCCTTCCTTTTATCTTATCCCTTTTCCATCTTTTCTCCTTCTCTCCTTTTCCCATCTTTCTTCTTCTCTCCTTTTCCTATCTTTTCTTCTTCTCTCCTCTTCCCACCTTTTCTTCTTCTCTCCTTTTCCCACCTTTTTGTTTCATATTGTTTCATGTGGACAGATTTCCGTTGAGTTGTTTTTCCTTTTTGTTTCATGTTGTTTTCATGTTGATTCTGCCACTTTATTCTCACTTTCCGTTCAGGTTTTACCGCAAGGACGACGGGACGTGGGCAGCGCACAAGGTGATCAGCATCCCCCCTAAGAAAGTGGAAGGCTGGGCATTGCCTGAAATGCCAGGTAAGGGGGTTTGAAGATCTCTGTGTCCTTCCATGTACTAACAGTGCTGATGGACACGTAGGTATTATGGACTGGGACGAAAAAATAAAAACACGAGAAAGGGAAAAGTTAGTAAAAAAAAAAAAAAAAAAAAAAAAAAAAACGAAAGAAAGAAGAATAAAAAAAGAACAATAGTGGACACAACTCGAATTGCTGATAACCGTTAGCGTCGATAATTCGCATTGCGTTTGCATATTCCTCAGTCGATTCCAGGGTCAAGAGAGTCAACACTTGATAAAGTCTAAGAGGATTATTCTTCATGCCTTGGTCGGTTCGATTTTGTGTTCAGGTTATTATTCATTTATTGTATTATTTATTTATTGTATTATAAATATGCACGCCATAATTTCCACCATTACCGCAAACCGTACGAATGCGATGATGGAGCCTCGACTTCGGATTGAGATGTATGAAACTTAATTTACAAACCGTAACAGCGTCTGCCCTTCAGTTCGGTTTTGCGAATCTATTACTTGTATTACAACTTTGTATAAATTCTTACATCATGATATACTTGTAAATCACTGATAACGAACTCTAATCAAAGCCGAAATCGTGGTTCCAGCGCCGCTTTCGTATCACATGAGGTAATAAGGCCGACCCAGCCACTGTCGGCACGCGGGGTAAAATTCGGCCTTGGGTTGGGTAAGTAGATTAGGATAGTTACTATCCCATTTACGTGCGTGCGCCATTATCGCCAGTCCCGTACAAAGGTGACTCTCTTATCTCCACGTGATGATTCTTATCTTGGTATTGAACCCTGCCAAAACACTTCATCCATCTGCGTTAGGCAAAAAAGTCCCCTTTTATCTCAACTCTTGTTATATATAACGATACGGTCGCTATCTTTGTCTTTGCATCAGTTAACGTGTGGATGAAGCAATATATTTTATCAATTTCCGCGTATTTTAAAAGGAAATACGAAGCATGAGACCCATGACGTCGAGCGACCTTGGCCAAGAAAAGGGATCTTATCACACCTAAAGAAACTAGAGAACTAAAACTTGCCGTTGTAATTACTTTTTTATTCGATGCAACGCGAAATTTAAAAAAATAAAGAAAACTAGTGTGGGAAAGATTTCGTTCTAAAGCAGTTTTTTTAATGAATGCCTAGTATTTTCAGATACAATCCACTGAATAAGATTTCAATAAAGAAATGACGACACCCATGAGAATTCATTGCAAAACACACACACGCACACACACACACACAACACACACACACACACACACACACACACACACACACACACACACACACACACACACACACACACACACACACACACACACACACACGTACATG